CATATACAGAACAACAATATTATCTTCTCATCTCTCGCACATCCTGCTGTAATAGAAATCAAAAATGGCCAGAAAAATATGAATCTTTTAGTTTTTTCCAATAATCCTTTAGGAAAAAGAAAAGCATCAAGAAAATAATACATCTTACAGTCCCCCAATGTGCAAGGTGACATCTCAAATTCAAACTCAAACATGATTAAATGAACAGACCAAAGCAGCTAATCGTCAAATAAAATTTTTTTTTCGGTTTCCAGTTGTCATCAATTGTCTAAGGCTCAATAAAAAACATGCTACAAACAGACACATTAAAGTATGACAGAACCATTGCAATGATTAATGTGTGTGTGTGTGCTGAGAGTGAAACCACATGTTGAATGGGAGGGCGAGCAAGGCCGTGTGAAGATTTGGATCTGAGGCAGAGGGAGTGTGTGTGCTCGCATTTTTGGGGGACAGGATAAAGTGAGAGATGGAGGTGTTTATGTGTGTGTGTGTGTGTGTGTGTGTGTGTGTGTGTGTGTTGTGTGTGTGTGTGTGTGTGTGTTTGTTTGACCACAACCTTCCCTGCTGTGACCTTGCCCGTCCCACCAATCCGGCCTGTCCATAGCTGTAGCATGGGTGAACTGATCTGCTTCTCTCACTTGCCAGCATTACTTCATCTCCATGAGAGGCTGTGTATACCTTTCTGAGTGCTGGTTGCATTGCTTCTTGTTACATGTATGGTTTATAGACCCTCGGTGTATGTCAGAACAGTAGTACCGAGCCACTTGAGTTTAGGCAAGGAGAGGTGCTTCAGTGTGGCTTAAGCTAAAGTCTTCTTCTGATCTTTTAGTGATAAGAGAGTATGGAGGAATTTGGCTGAAAGGTTTGATTCTAACGAGCGGCAATTGGAATTCTTTTGATGTTCAATACTAGGGAGGAGATAGTTAGAAAGTTTGCCTGAATTCTTGACTGTACGTAGGTATCAGTAGTGCGTGACACACAGGGAGAGGTTCTTCACAGATATTATTTTGACTGGTTATGTGTCGTACACTAAGCAGGTGGGGTATAACATCTGGAGATGGGGGACTTTGGATATTTATCCACGGCGTTTATGACAAGGGCAGGTATTACACTAAGGCACACACGAAATCGACTTTATGTCCCTTTCTACTCCTGACAGGAAAGAATTGACAGTGGGTGTTGTCATGAGGGCTTTCAGAAAGTACTATG